GTGTCTGTGTGTGTCCTGTGATGGACTGGTGTCCTGTCCAGGGTGTGTGAGAGTCTGTGTGTGTCCTGTGATGGACTGTACCCTGCCTTGTGCCTGTTGCTTGCTGGGATAGACTCCAGTGCTGGAAAAAGCAGTCAGAAAGTGGATGGGTGGACAACGTGCATCTGTCAGACTTCATGGTGGGTTTGTGATCTGCTTCCTTAAGTCGTGGAGCCTAGAGACAGGTGTTCAGCCGCTCTGTGTATGCAGACCAGCAGTGGGGCTCAGTACCGTGAGGGACCATCTCGGTTCCGACAGCGTTTGCCTGCACAGAGCAGGTACAGGTTGGGTGGGGCTGTGTTACCCCTGATCTCTGTGGTGTGAGAGTGGGAGTGGGAGTGGGAGGGAGGGAGCCGGCCTTCTGTCTATCCACCCAGGCCTCTCCGGGCCATCAGACCCAACACGCCTAAATCGAAATCCCCCAGGAGGCCCTGCTGCCTGACCTCACTCAGTGCGCGTGCGTGTGTGTGTGTGTTTGTAGCAGAGCTAGTTTGGATACAGTGATGTCAGCGCCCTCCCTGCACGTAGCAGGGTCCCCAGCTGCCTAGGGTGAGGGAGGTCTCCTTTAGCTCCTGCGGCTGGTTCCCTGTTGCGTTACGCCAGAGACCCGGGTTCGCGCCCCAGGTGCTGCGGGACGGGACGGGTGGCGAAGGGCACGAGCCCGCGCGGAACCGCGGTGGTCACATGTTCAGGCAAGATGGCTCCCTCTCCTCTTGGGCTGGGCAGGGGCCCCTGTGGCATGTCAGAAATCCAGCCAGGCCAGCTCGTCCTCTCTGAACACCTGGCCAGAGTCTCGCTCTTTGTCAACGAGCGCTGGACGAGGAATGCGCGTCACATTAACCCAACTAGCTCTTTGGGCAGTAGCTACAGTGCGTAGAGAAAGTCTACACACCCCTCCCAGCACCGCCCAAGTACACCCCCACCCGAACAGCATCCTGCCTGTGACTGCAGCTTTCAACAGGGACGAGCTCAGGGGCGTGAGCCCCTGTCCAGCCCAGTTCACCAGGTCCTCATCCGGAATGACTTTCCAGAACGTCAGCGCACGTGCTTCTCACCCGGAGGGGTTGTGTGTAACAGAGTAAAACAAATTCTGTTTTAATGGGTCAGAAGGCAGGTGAATACATTCTGGTAAATACAGGTCAAATGGGTCTTGACGTCAGGCATTCGGGTCACAAAACGTCTCTCTCCCCATGTCTGACAATCTCACGGTGTCGTGCAACATTCAGACAGGACCCCACCGCAGGAACTTCCGATAGGCACTGACACGGACCCATCCAGGGTGTTCGGTAACTAGTAGCTCAGTGATCCCCAGACGTCATTCAGACGTTTCTTGAAGGTTCCCAAACAAGACACATTTCTGAACCATGATCCGAGACCTTGTTCTACTCCTGCCACTTTATCTGTCAGGTGCCGGAAGGAACAAATTCACACAATCACAAGACCCTGTTATCTAGTTTTATTTAAAAAATACAGAGGAACAGAATTCAAATGTTTTTTAAAACTTCTACATCTTTAATATTATTATTAATAATGACAATAAAGTTGAATTGAATTATGGTGCTCAGAGCAATTGAAAACCCCAAGGAGGTTAAATAGAGTCGCATTTAGAATGTATTCTTTACAGCATCATCACACACCTGTATTTCAATAGTTGGAGGCTGTCAAGGATAAGAATTTTCCATTTATTTGATCTTCAATACAGTCCCTACATCCAGTATCTCTCTATGGGCTCTTTATAGCTGAAGCTCTTTCCTCTTCAGGTCTGATTAATCTACCCGCTGGTTCATGATCAGTGGTTAAAGGTAGATTTACGGGCAGTGGTTCAGTGAAAGAGACCCCACCAGGCGACAGAACTGGCGCTCTCCAGTCTACGATTCACCTTGTTCCAGTCCGCGAGGCGCCATAAATCAACCTTTAACATTTCCTGGTTTGGGTGGTCCAGGACGTTCCCCTAAATTCCTAAATCTGGGCTGGGGCCAGAATTACTGACAATCTTTTCACTTAAATTGGTTTAGCCCCCAGTCCAGGTAAACCTGATCTGTACAAAGTCACCAACTCTCTACCTGAAAAGTTATAAAAAAATAGGCACAAGAAATCCATACAGTTAAAGCAAACTCCCAAAACCCACCCACTCACGAAATTTAGACACTCCTCATATCAGGGGAGACCACGTTTGAGAATGCACAAGTTTGCATGAGGATACACAGAGAAATTTAAGCTGTTGCTGTATGCATGATCAGTAGATTTAGTGGGTTTGAAAAACTAAAGGTTTACAAAGATAGATTGCATGAGACATGAGGCGTGATCTTCACCTGCAACAGAAGAAAAATAATCAGGCATGTGACACGCAATAATGCCGTTCATTTACTTAATCCACTGCACTGATCACAAGGTGTCTGGTTTTTAGTGCAACAGCATGGCCAAACACTGAGTTCCAGGTGAGGTTTGAACATAAGATCAAGAACATTTTTAGCATTTCAATTAACTGAATCCAGAATGTCTCCAGTAACAGATAAAGGGAAGCCAGCACAGAGGTGATATAAATGGTGGTTGTGCTGAGTTAAGGTCAAGTTACAGTCCCAGGATTTTCACAGATATAATGAGATGGTTCTAACTGTAAAAACAACTTGAATATATAATAAACAAAGGGCTTGGAAATTCTTATGTCCAATTGTTAGAACATGTTAGAACATTTCTAGTAATAATTATTGATATTCACATGTTTTTATATAACAATTGATAGCAGAACTGACAACTTATGAACCTAGGCCCAGTATAATTCTCCACCCACTGTTAAATCACATTGTATTGTGTTCTACACTACTGCAGCTCTGAGAAAAGGAAATATTCACAAAAAATCTCTCACCTTAGGTGCACAGGCCGATCCTCTGACAGAATTTACATGTCAGGTTCTGTAAGCAGAGAAGGGGAAAAAAGGAGATCGGTCACATTTCCGCATCACACTTCACAGGCTCAAGAAACTCCTATCCAAGAACTGGAGAGATCCTATCCAAAAACTGAAGAGATCCTATCTAAGCAATGCGGTCTAAAATAACCGGTTTCGGTAGCATCAGCTCTGTTAATGTGATGACCGACCACCATCACACGCAAGTCTTCTACATTCTGGAACAAAATTGTTTTTCTCAAATACTGAGACAACTCACGAGGCTGAGGTTTATAAAAGGGTGTGGAAGGACTGCAGGAAGTGACCCCATGTTTCCTGGGACACTTTCAGAGGGGAGGAAGCTTGATAACGAGAGAGGACCACTGAATCCAGGTTCTCATCCCGCCAGGCTACTTGCTTAAACAACACGGCTGGGCAGCTTGTTCCACACTCCCACAGCCCTTTGTGTAAAGCAGTGTCTCCCACCCCGATTGGAGGGACTCATCCAGCTGTGCCTGCTTTCATCAACAACCTGGATCACGGATTTTATATTAAGGAGACACCCGGACAAAATCAATCAGAGAGGCACAATCAAATGAACTGCTGTTCGGGCGCCTCCCTGTAGGGGGCAGAGTGGAGTCTCAATTAAATCGCCATCATGTCCCGTCTCCCAGAGTGCTGGAGCCATGGGGTCTCCCCGATCAACCTCCCCTTTAGCTAGATGTGCTGCTGTGGAGCAGGAGCGGCACACCTACCCCAGGTGAACTCCTTTGGCACAGACAGGGTGCTGTGTGACACCCTGCAGGAGTAGATGTCCCCCTTCTTGGGGGTGAAGGGCACGGTCTGGGTCAGGTGGAAGTGCCAGCCCTGCTCAAAGGCCAGGTCGCTCTGCTTGACGCCCTCCATCTGCTGCTTGTTCTTCAGCAGCTCGATCTTGATGTCAGGGGGATGGAAGTCGCTGACGTGGCAGATCAGGGTGTTCGACTTGTCGTACTCCCCGGGGTTCCGGCTGTAGATCTGCACCTTGGGCTCGGCTGGGGGCAAAGGAAAAACACAAGACAGGCCGGTAAGCACACAGCTCCTCCTCTCGCTCTGAGCAGGGGGTCTCCCTGCACGATGTCCCGCGGCAGGAAGGGAAGGGCGGAGACGAGTCCTGCTCGGGGAAGCTGGAACGTTATTAGATGTCATCTCTAGACATACGGTGGCTCTGTGGCTCGGGATCTGCGTCTGTGGCTGGAAGGTTGCCGGTTCGTATCCCTCAGCCGGCAGAGGAATCCTACTCTGTTGGGCCCCTGAGCGAGGCCCTTCGCCCCAGCTGCTCCAGGGGCGCTGCATAAATGGCTGACCCTGCGCTCTGACCCCTAGCTTCTCTCCCTGTCTGTGTGTCTCATGGAGAGCAAGGTGGGGTCTGAGAAAAGACACATTCCTAATGCAAGAAATTGTATGTGGCCAATGAAGTGATCTGATCTTACAGTCCAGGAGAACACTGAAGAATTCTTGTCATGGGTTGCTGAGCGCCGCATTGTGCTGCTTTAAATACTAATGCTAACCCACTCCTTCTTCTAACTGGGTACAGCTCTATCCCCTTCTAGAGCCTGGTTTTTATCGATTAAAACACAGAAACGTCTTCTGTGCCAGAACAGGCTGGTTTGGGTCAATATGTTTCACAGCTCAGTGCCAGCAGCCCTTTGGGTTGCATTTCAAACTGACGACAGGAGGCACCACTTTACACAAAGGAGGGTGGGAGTGTGGAACAAAGCTGCCCAGCCCAGCTGTTGAAGGAGATAACCCCGACTTCTCTCAAGGAGCTACTGGATGATGTCTTGGATCTATTCACTACTGACAAGCCTGATGGCCCGAATGGAGAACACGGGTTCGAGAGGTGGGCGGCCCAACAGTGATCCAAGTGGTGAAACAGGGACAGACGCCCCCCCCCCCAACAGAAACAGCGGACACAGCTCTTCTGTGACACGATCAGTGGCCTGCAACGGGGAATTCCCTCATCATCAGGGGCTCAGACAGACCCTGCTGCCTCGCGAGGCTTCGACACCCCAGCGCTCCTGCGGAAAACACCGGGCCACCCGCGCGGTTCCCGACACCGCCAGCTCAGTCTGGGGTTTCACACCGCCGGGAGGGAGGGCCGCCTTGCCCCGGGAGGTGTGCGCGTTCCAGCTCCCTGCCCCCGGGAGGGCAGCGGGGCACGAGAGCGACAA